GAACGTATCAGATGGCTAATCTTTGCATTGACCGAGGCGAGCGCGTCTCGTCTCAACGACACCCGTTGTGTACCATAAACAATTTGTTATCAATCTGGCTTTACCGTGGCCAACCGTCGTCCGGGCAGTTTCCGAGTGAACAAATCACAAGACTTGCAGGTGGGCAACACCCAGTATCTATCTACTTAGTCACAACCAATCACGGTCATTTCTGTGCACGGGAAAAATTAGCACATGTATCAAAACATCAAAATAAAACTCAAGGTACTCTAACTGATTGCAGCCAGATAAAGCATCAGACATTGTAACATTGAGCAAGGATGACTACGTTTCAAAAATGGAGTCTACTTTTGGGGGTAGAAGCAAGTTCCTGATAGACACCATCCTAGAGAATAACCTTTTCGTATAGAAGCGGGTGGCCAGAAAACTGCAGATACTTTTGTTACAAGGATACATCACTGAGTTGCAGTACACAGCTGAAACTAGCTGGGACACAGACACCAAGAATGAAGGATCCGCCCAAGTTGCATAAGCCAGGTAACCCACTGCGTCCGCTTATGTGCATGAACAACTCGCCCGATCACAATGTTTCTCGGTGGTTGGCGGAGCTCTGTGTGTAAGCCCATGCGTAAACTCCTCGCTACACACTGCCTGACAGACTCCATTGAATTAGCGAAGACTTTTGGAACAATTCTCACTGGATTCGGAGCACATGCCTTTCATAGACTTGGACAATTTATTCGCAAATCTGCCTCTTCAGGAAACAGTTGACGACTTGTGTCATTTCACACTGAGTCAAAAGATACATGTGGGCCTCCCTGTGGAATACTTGTTGGATCTGATTCTAATCTGCACAACAATTGTACGTGTTGAGTTTGAGGGGACGGAATACAAGCAAATCGGCGGAGTCGCCTTGGTAAATATCTTTCTCGGCCTGATCGAAAGTCAAGCTGCTGCCAGTAATGTGGAAGCAAAAATTTACCAACCGTATGTAGATGATATTTTGGTATTCACCAACAGTGAAGATTTGACCCGCGTTAACCACTTTGAATGCAATTCACCCTAACTTATCGGTGTCCCAAGAGATAGAACAACATGAATGCCTTTCATTTTTGGATATCCTGATTTAGATACGGGACGGAGGTACACTGCATCGCACCGTTTGTCGCAAGGAGATCTGGAGCGGGCAGTACTTTCACTGTTCCTGTTTTGCCCCGGCTGTATAAAAACGCGGCCTAGTGAAAACAATCTTCTGCAGGGGCAGACGAATTTGTAGTCCGGAATTGCTGGAAGTTGAGGAGAAGTTTCTGCGTAGTGTCGAATAGTTATCCCGAAAAGTTTATCCAAGTGCACAGCAGACTCCCAGAAAAGATACTTCAGGTGCTAAAGGCATAAAAAAGCTGTTTATTTGGTTATGCCGTTTAACGGGGACTATGTGGTAAATGATATCGGACACCAACTCATATCCGCCCTAACGTGCACTTACATAGCTGCGCTGTTGCGCCTCATGCACACTAACCGGAAACGTGTTCTCGATGACCGTCAGAGCTACACTCCGCCTAGTTCCACCTATCATGTGGTTACCCAGTTCACCTGCAGTCGCGGTGTCATATACATAGGCAGAACTGATCGTCGATTAGCTCAGATGGTGGCTGAAGTCTTGTCATAGTGGGTAGAACAAATGAGGACCCAGCGAAAGGCCCCCCGCCCCAAAAGGAGCCGGAGTTCGTCATCATCTATCACCAAGCTCCTTGTGACAACTGGTCACAATGTGAACCCGAAAACTGCGTGCAAGACGCTTTTGAAGTGGCACGGAAGGCAAGACTCACCAGCGGAACGGACAAGCCAATAAAAAATAGGAAGATGAAAAGTAAGGAGGACACCGGGGACGGAAGCCGACAAAACAGCTCGAGGCGTACGGTACAAGCCGGAAATCGACAACGAACGACAGACGATGTCAGGCCCAGACCGAGAAGAGCGGGGGACCTCGTGGTGGACAGTCCGCATTTCCGAAGAGATAGGCATTTGGTGGTGCCGCCAGGAATGACCACGAGGAGAGCGACGTGGTCCCGATTAAGCAAGTCAATGGCATTAGATCGAATCCATCTGAATCAGAATATGACGTGCGGAGGCGAAGACACAAGGGCAAATCGGCGAACAGTGACTTCCTTGATCGGCTGGAGTCGCGGCATGAATGTGACACCTAGCGAAATGACAATGTGTGGAGCGTGGTGGTCGGCAAATGTCATCTATACGTGCGCGCGTGCGTGCTAGCCTGTGAACCCATTGTGCATTGGCAACCAAGAGTGTGCGTATCTGCAGCTCGTTTTCGCTACATCATAGCGTAACAAGAATCCGCTGATGCTGACAATCAGTGAAGCGTTGATAATTATGGTCATATTGGCAGCTTCATTTTCTAGTTACTCAGTTGACGTTTTCTTATCTAAGCTGTTTAAATGTGTTGTATTTGGTTTGACTATGACTCACCGAAAACAAGCATGTTTGATAGACGGTCTTTTCATGACTGGGACCGGAATGATTCACCATTTGAAGCACAGGGTGAAAGTAAAATGCGCATACATGCGTTTCTGGTAAACATTCACTCGTGATGCTGATAACTTTCTTGGAGTCCACAAAAAAATGGACAGATAGAATGCCAGGAAGCAGAAGTATAGAACTGAGGCGTGTAGACAGGAAAGGAGCAGTTCCTGATACAGTGTTATGCAAAAAGTGAAAAAGATCATTTAAAAGCACTAATGCCCTTTTCCCACATGCTCCGAAACAGTAACGATGAAGTCTGCGAAAGAATTTAGACAGTCACTTCCCCTGAATTTGGGCCTAATGGAACTCACAGTGTAAAGGTTTTTTGAATAAGTCTAGGAAACAAATAGGTGCACAGTGCAGCCAGTGAGAAAGGAGACATACTGTCACTAAATGATAGCTCAAAGAGCATCATACCGAAAGAATCTTTTGCTGTGGCGGAAAATGATGGTCTTCTCACCTCGTGAAATGCTTCATTAGCGTGTGTCGATAATGATAGATTTTGTGATAAAAGACACCGGGACAGTTGGAAGTGGGTGAACTGTGCATGATGTCGACACTCACGACCAGGGCCGAGACGTGTTTGTCAAAGTTCCGCGTTTGTCAGTACGGTGAAAGATACAGTTGTGTTGTTTACTTGCAAAAACATTGTGAACAAGTGCCCAGAACTACGACCACCACCCAAGCTCACGCAACTCACTTTGAAGCGCTGCAAATGGCAACATTGGGAGCAATGCTGCTTAATGAAACGTCCTCAGCTTATTTACATTTAATAAAGTCAGGGAAAATGGGAAGGATTTCTGTGTACAAAGAAACTATGGGAGAGGAGAGGATTGCCCCCTACATAGCGTCTCAGGCGCTCCGAATAATGAAGAGTTTTTCCGTTCATCTGGATGAAGTAAGAGTGATTTCTTAAATAATCGCTCATCTGCTTGCATACCACCGGTTGAACCACATTCACGAGCAACAGATGGTGTGGGATTGACCTGTCAACACCTTCAAATAGGCTAAAATAACCCAAAGGGAGAAGCTGCGCGGTCGTGTATTTTGCACCCAATGGATGACGATTCACTTTAGAATTGAACCTGGGTCTGTCCGGTCAGTAGGACCGGATCTGGTGAATGTTAGTTGTTACCCACTCGCTCGCCCAGCTGACTTCATCGCCGCTCTTCACGGTCGCGTTCCGATCCGTCCGCAAGAGTGCTTCAAAATGACTCATCCACTCCGTTATTGACCGTTGTGACCAGCGTCACTCACCGCGAATTCGTGGCTTATGGGTGTAGGTTCCGATCATTATCCCAGAGGCCACGAGTTCGAGTCGCGGTCCTGATGATGGTTGCAACCAAAGTGTGAAACCGGTCGGGGAGTGCGGTGTTGCAAGTAGACCACACCCAAAGTTCATCTGTTTCAGAAGCGGTCCCAGTGACCGGATTGATCTTGATTCACTCCAAAGAATGTGGCTTTACTTTTGTTAAAGTCTCCAGTGATTACACAGGGAGAACATTCAAGATGCAGCAGTTAACTATAGTGAATGTTATCTTCCAAGTTTTCGGTTCTGATACTGATAGATTAGGAGCTAAGAAAACGTTTCCAATTGCAATGGAACTCAAAGCGTTCAAAATGTTGGCTTACATTTATTCAACTGAAAACTGATGACGATTTTTGGGTAAGTGAACAGCATGTCTGCTAATGACTCAAATATCTTGGTATTCCACTTGTTTAGCTCTTTCTACTTTCTCTTTTGCCTTCTGAGTTTACTTTTTTCTGTTTCTTACTTCACGTAACCGGCCCAGCAGGGACTACTAGGGCAGGATGCGTGGGCATTAATTGGTTGGACAGGGTGTGATGCGGTCTTTGTTTTAGGTCCATCAGTATTTCAAAATTCGCCAACTCCTGGTTCAACGACCCGCCGAAGAAGGAACACTCACGGGATCATCCTATCGTTCCAGTCCCGCTTGAACTTGAACTTGTAGGAACGCACTCAGGACTATGATTCCTGACTACCCGACAGCAGTTCTGCAACACTGGGTCACATAACAAAACTCGCAGCTGCCAACTATCCTCACTTTGTGCTAGGTACCAATCGATTCACGGAGACCTCCGATGTTTCCCGTTGTACATCTAACTTTTCCTGAAATGCCACAAATACTGAAGCTTCGGTGTATAGACGTTAACTGTTGGTTAATCAATCGTCGTGCATACATACGGTCCAAGCTATTAGCTGCTTTGTTTTCTGGCAATCGTACCAGGCTTTGAATATGTGTTTCGTGACACTGTCGGATGATACGAGCCCTAAAGTAAAGTAACGATTCGATACGTTTTATTTGTAACATTCACATGTACCCTTTTTTGGCCGCTGACTCAGTATGCGCTTCCACATTGAATTATCGTTGCGGATCCCATGATAGGCGTCACTTAACTTTGCTCCATGTTTCATTCCCTACCGATCCTCACATTAGATACAGTTCAGGAACCCTGCCATGGGGAACGGCTCCTCCAGATCCCGGATTTGAACCGGCGCGCATTGATGATGGATTGTTAGAAGTTATAGGATTGTCATCGGCAGCACTGGTGAGCTATCATAAAGCATGTTACTATATTGTCAGCCAAAAGATCTGTCATGGGACCACCAACGCACAATACACTTGATTGCTATTACGCTCTGAAGATGTCACTTCGGTCGGGGACACAATGTCTGCAGCCAAATTACCCAACCCGACAAACAAGTGTACATGTCAAAAGCACAGCTAATAGTTCGCCACACCAGTTATCTACCGAGTTCAAAACGAAACGAGCATGAGGACTTGGTCGCACAGGCGTAGATATCTTTGCGTTGGTATAGGCACTACTGTTATAGATACTAAGTGTGTTTTACTTTCATTGTAGTTGCATGGGTTTCTCAGGTTTGCTAACCGTTTTCACTAAACGCACTCTGCTTGCATCAACTGATTTGCCGTAGCACGACGCACTGACCAAGTGCATTAGTTTAGGTGAGCCGAGTGTGTCCCAGTGTTACTTGGGCGAGGCAGCAACCTCATTCTGACTTACACTCCAAACCCCTCACTCGAGCGTTCGAACTCAGGAAGCTAAATAAGTTCATTACTTGTGAGTGTAGCGGCGCGGTGATTACTGCATTCTGCCCCAAACTAATACCTTCCTCCTTCCACATTGGTTCACTAGAAAACTGAATGCTACCAGTCTAGGAAAGTTTGTTTTTCCAGTCGTGATATCCACGTTATCATGGTTGTTTTCAATTGCACGCATAGGGATTGTTATTGGATTTCTGCTTACTGGCAGAGACATTGCTAGTACAGCCGGCCTTACACTGTCAACAGCCTCATCCATTGAAAACTCAACCGAATTTATCCCATTTGAGTCGTTCGGATGAGAACGAATTGTGCCGTGGATTGATGCGTTACAAACCACGCGTATCAAGTCTGCTTTACCTTCTGGTTTACCCACTGGGGGAAAATAACACCACCGTCTGTTACCAGAGTTGTGGTTTGCGTATTAGATAAATCTACCGGTCCCAAAACCTTATCCACTCTCCAGTATCAATAGCGCATGCTGACCTGTTTCGTTAACCGACAAACACCTTTACTTTTTGGCCTCAGTCACCTCATAGATTTTAAATGCCCTAAATCCCGTGATTTTCTAACCATGAAATAGGGGGATGGGTTTTGTTTTTATGTCCAAGAACCTGAACAGAGCGGGTTACCAAGATACATAGCGATGCTCCAAAAACGTACAGAAATTGTAGGTGTAGTTGATGCTATTTCTAGTTCGAGGATACGCAGCATATTCTTCGGAATTCCGGCGTTCACAGGTAAAAGTATGTGAGACAAGGCGGGAACGATCCACATGGAGGTGAGGAAAAGTAAACGGATCGCACTGTGGATGCAGCATTCGAAACATGAGCTGCATGAACATTGGGATTGTAACAAAGCAGCTCCACTCGATGGTAACAGCTTCATTCCCCTACGTTCTCACTAATAAACGCTATCACTCCTCCACAGGAGCTGATCCTGGTATTTAAAGGGAATCGTGGCGATTGCGTTTATACAGAATGGCCTCGATTGTTCAAAACCGTCTTAGGCAACTTCGAAAAGCCAACTAGCACGTCAACCTGTTGCGGACGACATTTGGGAGATTTGATCCATCAAATTTTCCAATGAGACCCATCCCGTTAAATACGTCATCCAAGCTTGGTAACGTTAGTTGAAGCTAGACCTCATGTTGCTATAGGCAACACAAAGCTGGGCAATAAAGAATGTGGAAGTCTATGAAACTTCTCTTGCCAGCAAAGGCTGAAGTTACTGGGAGTTTAATGCGGATGCTACCGAAGACTATGTAGTGACCTCATAATAGTGTACCAAATATTGCGTGACCCCAACCGCGTATGTCGCTATTTGCTGAAACATAGCCGCTACACCAGACTCAAAGGCAACTGCCTGGAACTGTGTGAACAATACAACCGTCTAGAGTGTCGACAGAATTGCAGTTCTCTTCGGGTTTGCCAACGTTGGAATTCTCTCCCCCAGACTCAGTAGTCATCTACTGTAACTTAGCTATTACAAAATTCGATTTCTCTTGACTCCGTGCACGTAGTTAGCTAAGCCGTGCTACTTTGGAGTATATCAATTATACCATCATACCGGATTTATGTGTTACATGGATTTAAGAAAGGGACACATGAGTGGGCCATCATATTTTTATTTTCACACAATGTGTCAAGTAGCACTGACTCTCTTGTTGTATGGTATGCTTGCATTCCACACTCGTATTGTATGCTATCGTTATTCAGTAACGTAGTTGACTCTATGGATGTTTAAGCGGCTTACTCGTATATCTTTGTACATTGTGATTTGCACTTCGACCTCCTTACGGAACTTGTCAGGCAACTACTCTTTATCTGTGATAAAGCATTGTTTATTGTGCAACATATTCAGCGGTGTGAGACAAGAACGCCCGCTGCAATCTATCTTTTTTAACTTCGCCACTGACGAAGTTATGAAATCTCCATTCACTGGACACGACTTAGCAAGTATACAGTTACTTTCAGGTGGTGGATTTCTTGCCTAACGTGTGGAGCTCACAAACTTGCTATGCAACATTGGCCAGATAAACACTGATCGCCAAGTGTTTCGGATTGTGTTTTGTACCATTTAAATGCAAAGCTCACCTTTTGAGATCATCAGGGACCAGCCAATTCACTTATCCTCGGTGGTCGTACAAAAATCCAAACACTTGGGTAGCCATATAGGCGCCCGTAGAATAGAAGATAAGGCTACATACCTAAGGGTAAAAGCTTGAATTGAGTTATAATTATGAGTGTGCGGAGATTTTTCCGAAATGTATTCATCAGACTACCTAGTATATCTGAAAAGCGGGTAGCTATCGGGAGACATGCAACTGAAAATTTATTCATTGAAGTGGGAAGGCATGCGGAGTTTCTCCTAAACTAATGTCAGTGAATTTATTGTGTGGTGAATACACATCACAAAGCGTTCGGGTTGGTTGGGATCGGTGGATGGATGATTTAGGTTACGCACGTGCAATCATCCTAGACGTCTGCGATCATCCGCAAAGTGTAACTGGCCATTTTCGTGAAACTCGTCTTCGCCTCCCGAACAAGCCGCGATGCAATACTCTGTGGAGCAAAGCACCGTAGTCACGTTTGGTCTGAAACTCGGGAAGTCTGCAGTGTAAACGTTTTCCCGTGATAAACACGGCCTCCAGTGATCAATGTTTATCGGAACCTCAAGTCTAACGGTGGCACAAGACTTTTCTTGTAGTCCATAAAGAGCTTAGCGATGAAGGCCGCGCTGGGATGAGATCAGCGACAACCACCGACTAAAATGTGACGCGCGTGATTACAGATTACTGCTTGGAAGCAGCAAGAAGAGATATCTCACTCAGGGACAATGACCCGTTATTTTGGGATGTGCTCGATATATTTTAGATCGGTAAAGTATTTGTCCAGGAAGGAGAGATGGTGGCGGATGCGGACTTGAGGATCAGTGGATAGATTCAATCTGGCCTGGCAGGTTTCGTCTCTTCAAGACCTACCAGCAGCTTGCTTACATCTATATTTCTGAAATCCCGGCTGTCTAGTTCAGCGGGGTTTGTACCCGTCGTACTCGGCCATTTGCAAACACGGAAGCGAAGTACGCCGCCAATGCGGACGCACGATCTGTGCTCGTGGTTAGGGGCTGTCCATCTGAGCTATCCAGCACTGGCACATTGCCTGCAGGCCTCTGGCGCCACTTCACGCAAGCGAAGGTCCTCTTGTGAGCAGTTTTTGCTATTGTTGCTAGGTGCTCTTCAAAGTTTCGGCGTTTTTGTCTTCCCGCGTTGTTGCAGAGATTTCGCTGTATTTTGTACGTCTGGTAATCTTCAGCAGAGCCAGACAACACGATTATGTTTCACGGTCTGCGTCGCCGTCGCGCCAGTTTGTTGTGCTCATTATCGAACCAACGTGGCTTGACTGGTCCAACTTTGCGGTACTTGGGGCGTACACATCGGACGCACAACTATTTCACTCCTTCTTTACTAATAGCCCAACAGGTTTCAATAAATCAATTCTTCGGTAACCAGCAGTTCGTCTGACTCGCTGCTCGAGTGACACGCTTAAATTTCGCTTTCCAATAGCTGAAGGCTGGCTCCAGCGGAGGAGAGTACGGCAGCGACCGTTCTAAACTGGCAATGATCAACGTATGGTCACTCACCCCCAGGGAATCCAAGATCTGACTGTCGTGCACACGTTGCTCACAGCTAGCCAAAAGCAGGTCTAAGCATGATGGAGTCGCGCGCCGTTATGCGCGTCGGCTAGTTGATGTGTTGTGTGGCCCCAGTTTCAAATATCGTCTCTGCAAACTTCTCTTGACTTCACAATGGCCGGGGAGAATTTTAGCCTCAGGCCACTGTACTCGAGGTGATTTAAAAGCGTCCATGAGCAGGAACAGCGGACGGCTGATATGGTTGCAGACATGCAGCAACCGGTCCAAGTAACAATGGAACAATGGTATATGACGGGTAAAAAAGCATACACTTAACGAGTCCCGCAGGTTGGCAATAGAAATACTAACAAATTGGCAAACCACATAAGTGGTTTAAGTAAGGAGCGTCAGTGAGATAAAAGGTAGAAGTATAACAGTTTTAGGAGGATAAAGTGGTGCGACGCAAAACTGGCTAAGAAATCGTTATCGTTGGTGATGGTAGCAAATAAAAATGGAGTACTCACCGGTTCGCACAGATTTAAGACCGTGAATTTGGGGTATAAATCCAAAGGGGCTGGTCAGCCTAAATATATACAAGCGTTTTCGCTCATAAAACAAAGCGCAGGGCGCTCAGTGCGACGTCCAATCGTTTTTTAAACGTATCTAATGTGGGGGCACAAACAACTGAGTTTGGAAGGGCGTTCCAGGGCCCGCAGACCCGGAGGGAGAAATAGGTTCTCCGACAGTCTAGACGACTGTACTGTTGGCTCAGCTTTAAACTGTTACCGCGAAGGTTAGTGTTCGGGCTGAGCTTCAAGTGGTGGCGGCATACGTGACTGGGATCGCTCAATA